CGCTCACCGGGGGGGGCGCGAGGAGAGGCGGCGGGGTCCTCCCTCCGCACCTTTCGCCAGGGACAGAGCGGGAGGAGACGCTGCCTCCTTCGTTTTCATGCCGCGCCAGGCTCTCTCTGAAATGTTTCGGGAGAAATGTTGCCATAGAAATAAAACAGCAGTCCAGATTGCGAGGGGCAGGCCCTTCGTGACGGTGCAGGGGGCTGGCTGGTACTCGGCAGCGCCGGCAGCAGGATTTCCCAGGTCGGAGGTGTGGGGGACTGGAAATCCATAGGATAACTTGCCCTTCCACCTTTCTCTCCCGTCTCCTGCTGACAGCGATCATGGTGCTGTCTGTTCATTATTTGCTATTATGAAGGAGGACTGGGCATAAGAGTGTTTGGACAGTTTGGATTGGGATCTTTAAGGCTAAGTACTGCCGCAACTTAGAAACTTGGCTGGTGCCAGCCCAAGGAGCTTCCCATCCCAGGCGGCAGCTCCCCCCCCAAAATGCATGGATAGGTCAGTGCCAAACCTGTTCCTAGGGACAAACTGACTACGACAAAGTTCCCGAGAGGACAGCCCCCGAGGTACGCGCATCTCCAGCCACTTGTGATCATCTTTACCCAGGACCGAACTGTGTGTTTCTGCAGAGCAGTGCCCCAGCCGCTCTCCAGCTCTGTGGTCCAAGGCGCTGGGCACAGATGAGTCGTGGGTCCCTCGCTGCAGCCTCACACCGTGGTCTTTCCCTGCTACATTGCCTGATCTACCTGATATCTTTCCCCATCACTTGACAGGCCACGACACTGCCTCGTCTGATGGACAGCATGTTTGAGAGGTCCAAGGGAGAGAATCAACTCAGAAACGTGAGTGATTCAATCTGAAACCCGTCATTTCAGCATGGTTTCATTTGCAGAGACGTTCCTAGGGTCTTGTTTCATCCCTACCTGGATGAGGCAAAACCTGGAACAAAAACAAATCTTGAAACCTCAAAATTTGTCATGAAAACTAAGTTACCCTGCTGAAACCCATTCCAAGGCGAGACCTGAGCAAGCATGGGATTCATGGGGTAAAAGCTCATCTCACTGCAGCCAGCTGTGAGACCCTTACCAACGGTGGCAGCATTTCCCACGCTGACCAAAAGGCCCTGAGAAGCCATCGCACGCAGACCGCAGGGTTTCAGCCGTGTCCTCGGTGCGGGCCCCGCGCCTGACCCTGGGCACCAGCCGCGTGGCAGCCTGGTGGTTTCAAAAGCAGCCCCTGCCCATACAAAGCCACTGCCTGACGGAGGAATCACCAGCTCTCTTCAAAAGAGGCTTCAAGCCTGACCATCCCTGGTGAAGCTACCTTGTTTCGGGAGGGAAATCAGCGTCTGTGCCTCTGCGCGCTCCGTTTGAGGACCCTCCAGCTCTTTAAAGTGCGCAGAAGCAGAGCCTTCGGAGAATGTTAATTTAGACCTAAGTGATTTTGCAGCACTGCAAGGAATGCTAAGGCAGCTCCAGTCAGTTTTTACCATTCACAGAAAAATGAGTGTTAGTAGGAGGCTGGGAAGCTGCGCGTTTATGAATAAGGGATCGATCGCTAAGACACAAGCATCCATCTATTGATCCCTGGCCGCTCTGCCGGATTAAACTAACCCAATGGACTAACGTAACAACACAGAAAAGTTGGAACTTGCTGAAGGCGGATTGCTATTAAGCGCGCCGCTGCGCATCGGCATTGATGTCAGCGAGCAGAGGGCGCTGGACCAGGTATCCATTACTGTGTCCTTCGCCCCCCCTCCCCAACACCCTCCCAAGGGCGATGCCATCCCAGAAACACTGCTGTTCTGCGGGGGGAGGCCGGCGGA